TCTATTTTTGGGGCCTTCATCTGAATCCACGCAAGATATCCGCGCCCTTTCCCGACACGTGGACACGAGATCCGTGCAGCGTCACGGACCGCAGGCATACAGTCGGGACGAGCATTCGTAGGGTGATAGATACCACCCTCACCGGAAAGTCATGGGCGGCGGCTTCACCATCTCAATAACCGTGATGAAAGAACAGATAGGTGGTTACCTCAGGTATTTCGACAAGCACGGACAGCCTTGTATCCGTACCTCGATGGAATAGCGGGCTATTTTGGGGTCCGAGTGCACGGGCTTTCGGGCTGTTCGAGGGGTTGTCTTTTAGCGGTACCTTAGTTATGCAGTCGGATCCCCAACAACGCAACCTAATTCGCCGACCCAACAAGTCGCTCCTTCATTAACTCCGTCTCTGAACGGATGTATACATACAGCCCGGGACAACCCTCAACCATAGGTCGAAATAAACTCCTCTGGCCCAGAATCGCATAACATTTCCTTCTCCTTTAGGTTGCTGCTCTTTTGTTTGCCAAGGCCAATACCGTCGCAATCCTTGTAACTCCGTGTCATGTACCGCACCTTGCAAGCACAATGGTCGCATCTGTGACTAAGAAGCCAAACCTGAGAAGCGCATGCGACAGATGTTACAAGCTCAAAGAACGATGCGAGCGGGAAACGACGTCGGCCCTCTGTGTACGGTGCAAACGGCTGGGCCTGGCTTGTGCAGCCGTACGGCCGGTGCGGCCCGCGGGGAGAGTGGCACGCCGAGACCATGAGACGGAGGACCGTGTCTCAAGAACGGCGTTGTTAACGAGAAAACCCAGAGAGCAGCAGCTGGAAGAGGAGCAGTGCACCCAACCCGGCACTACCCAACCCGGCACCGGCACCGTCGACGCATGCTTAGACGCCCTCCCCGACGTCAGCCCCGAGGAAAAGGAGCTGTTGCTGTTTCTCCTCGGCGGCCGCCCTGACAGCCTCGACGGCTATGTCGTGTGCTCGAGCTTCAGCCCCGAGCTGCAGCGCTCGCTCGCCGCCCAGCTGCCCGCCGCCGAGCCCCTGCTCAAGCACGCCTATCTCGCGTGTGCTGTTGCCCTGAAGCGGCTACATTCCGGCCCCGTGGTGGCGGGCGGCGCCGATGACAATGCCGCGGCCTGTTTCGGCTACATCGCAAAGGCCATGCGCGCGCTGCGGTCACTGTCGGTCTCGCGCCCGGAGGACACGGTCCTGTGCCACACTCTCGGCGCCGTGCTTGCTCTGTCTATATACTCGGTCATCGGCGTGGGAGTTCCCGACGTCAGCCGCTACTGCCTCGGCACTACCGACCCGTTCGCGGGGACGGCAATGTCGGGTGCCCGCGACGATCCGTGGCAGGGGTTTCTGGTCTTGGTGGAGATCATGGACTGTCTCGTCTATCGGCGCAAGCCGGCCGCCCGGCGGATCCAGGCACCGGCCTCGGCCGAGGTTGCCGTGGACCGCCGCCTCGGCCTCTGCCTACCTCTGCTGTCCTACTGGCACGACCTCTGCGTCATCAGCAACTCGCTCCTCTGCGCAACCGATGAGGCCGTCCTGGCCCGCCTGCATTGGCAGCTGGATAACGTCAATGCCGCCGTCGAGTCCTGGCAGCCAGAACACTCGGACCAGCTTGCCGAGCAGTTCGGCGCGGCTGAGCTCGTCGGACTGCTCGCACAGGCCAAGGCCTACCGCCTGGGAGCGCTGCTGGTGGCCCACCGCCTGCGGTTCCCATTCGGCTGCGGCGAGGACGCGCAGGCAGACATCTGGTCCAGGGAGCTCATGGCGGAGCTGGAGCTGGCGAGGCGTGTCGCCGGCCGGCCGCTGCGATTCGCCGCGTTGCCGTTCCTCGTCGCCGCCGTCGAGGCAACGGGCGACGCCAGCCGCCGCGACGTGCTTTGTCGGGTCGACTGCTACGTCGACCACTACGCGCCGCCCCTGCGCCAGGTGGCCAGGGTTTTCTTGGTCAAGGTGTGGGGCGAGCGGGATCTGAACCTCAACGGCCGCTGGCTTGACTCAATACACAAGCCGTGTCCCGTGTTAGCCGCCGTGGACGCGGCTTGCTTCTAGGAGCTGAGCTTTCGTGTATGTATGTACCTAATCAATAACAACTGCACACGTACATACATTGAGAAACGAGTTTCCTTTCTCGTCCTGGCTGAAGCGGATAATCACTAATCAAGGTATCTGCTCTAATGCTAGATTCCCTTTTTGTTGATAATCGAGTCCAGAACGGCCGCCACCTTCACCAAGGCCTCGTCCCTATGCCTGTAGCCAACGAGCTGGACACAGACCAGCGCGTCCTCGTACTGTTCCGGGCCGGTATCTGTTGAAGAAACGTGTTAGCTTGGGTCTTTATTCTTCTTTTTGGGGTCTGGGGAGCAATTGGTGCCTACAAAGACTGTACAGCTGCTCGTCGTCCGGGCCAAACTTCGCGTTGCCCACGTCGTCAGCCGCGTCCACGTCTCGCCGCACCTAGTCCACGGGCATGACCACGGCCGGGTAGTCGAGGTAGTTCCACAGGCCCGTGTACGTGGCTTTGGTCCACCTGTCCAGCGGGAGCGCTGTGTGCGCTGCGGGCGGCATGAGGATCGCGTCCAGGCCCTTGTCGCGGAAGAGCGCGAGGTACTTCTTTGCCGCCGCCGCCCGCCGCGCGTTCAGCTCGAAGCAGACCTGCAGCGTCGTCCCCGGCACCGACAGGAGCCCCCCGACTTGGAGCGACAGGATGGGCGGCTCGCCTGTTCGCGCGAACTGTTCGTAGTTGTGCTTTTTTTGTGTTTATGTCAGTCGGTACAGAGGTGGCAAGTAGGCCCAGGGATGGGACCTGGCGAGACTCACATCGCTTCCCGACAGTGTCACGTAACTGATGAGATCCCGGCTGATCAGCCCGACGCCGGGGAGGTCGATGGGGACGACCTCGACGCTACTGTCGCCGCGGAGGAGATCGACCGCCTGCTTCAGGCCACGTCTCACTGGCGGCGACGGAGTGAAGACGCCGTCGGTCAGCGCCACGCCGATGCGGAGCTTGCGCCCGCCGGGCTGCTGCTGCACGTCGTCCACCCACGGAACCGCGACGGCCGCGCTGTCGTACCGCCAGGCGTCCGCCCGCATCACCGCCTTGAGAAAGAGCCCGCAGTCCCGCAGCGACGTCGCCATGGGCCCGGCCGACGAGTGCACGCCGCCGGTCCCCGACGGGCCGAGGCCGCGCAGGCCGCTGTACGGTACCAGGCCCACGCTAGGTCGGAACCCGTAGATGCCGTTGCAGAGCGCCGGGATGCGGATGCTGCCGGCGATGTCGGTACCCACGCCGAGGATGCTGCCGCGCAGCGCGAGCAGCGCGCCCTCGCCGCCCGTGCTCCCGCCCGCCGTGAGCAGCCTGTTGCGCGGGTTCAGCGTCCGCCCGAACACGTTGTCGCTGTCGCCCGTCATCATCGACTGCGGCACGTTGGTCTTGCAGTACAGCACCGCGCCCAGGTCGACCAGCAGCGCTGCCAGCGCGCTGTGCTCCGCCGCCGGCTCGCCCACGAAACAGCACACCCCGGTCGAAGTGTCGTGTCCGCGCACCTGGAAGCAGTCCTTGAGCGAGATTGGCAAGCCAAACAGCGCTGGCAGCGGCCTTCCTCCGCGAGACGGCGACGACTTGGCACCGTATTCCTGGTCGAGCTTCCTGGCTCGCGCAATGGCTTCGTCGAAGAATATCTCCGTCAGGCAGTTCGTCTGCCGAACAAAGGGGCAAGGGGGGCAAGGTCAGCAATATGCCTCTTTTCCTTTCCGTAGGTCCTTTCAACAGGAATGGCTTTCGACGAAGACACAACTGACCAGCTGCTGGGCAATGGCAGCCCGTTTGCAAAAGGCCACCGCCACTTGCTCGGCCGACCAGACTCCAGCCTTGAGCTCTCCGAGGAGCGCGGTAGCGTCGTAGTCTGAAGTGATTCGGGCTTCCGTCTCGCTCAGCAGACCGCAGGCGAGCGGTACGTCCATGACGCTAGCAGCAGCACTATGGTGGAACTTATCCGCGGGGATTTGCCAATCCTGCGGGGATCTTGTCCCTCTGCTGCGCTTTCTTCTCGGCCGCAATGGCCTGGTAGTTGGTGTTCTTCATCTGAGATCCCATCTTGATCCTGATCGTGCACGGCTTGGGTTAGAAAGACAGTAAATGAAATCAGTTGAAGTTCCTGCTGCTTTTGTGGGTGACTTTCGAGGATATATTGTGTTGAATTTCTGGGACTTGCAGAGCTATTTATTTATTCCCGTCCGTCACACTAAATGACGGACGCCGTTGAAGCGCCTATATTGGACTATTGCAGCTGGTGCAGAGCCACGAGGTCTAGTTTTGGCCCCGGCCCCGGCTACGGTTCCGGGTCCGGTTCCGTTTCGGACTTGAGGTTGGCTGGGTACCGTTATTCTCTAGAGACTCGAAAATAGGTGAGGAGACCAGGGAATAGTGAAATCCATCCGAGCCACCAATGTTAGGTGAATAAGGCACATCCTGAAGTATCTCTTATTGGCTGTTGCTCAAGATTTCTCCATTTTTGGGTATCCTCGCTCATTTCCCACTTTCGAGAGAACATACGGTAGAGGAATCGCAACCCTCCGGTCAACCTTCCGGTCCATCGTCCCCCTTAGGAACCCCGGCTTGGCGTTGGTTGTAACCGTCCCCCCCGAGTCAACAAATGCGAGCAAATATCTCTGACTTGCAGGTGTGTTTGATGAATTCCCAACAAATCTTGCCCGTGTTAAGTAAATGATCGTGTTGAATCTATTGACTAGCACTAGAGCGGGTAACTTAGTGGGCAGAGACCACAACACTGGCCTTCGAGCTGCTAGCAACATAATACGACATAAAAAAACAACACAGTATTGGGTTTTGCATCTGTTCCCATAGCTAAGGTACTTACTCCATAACACATAGGTACCGAGGATAAAATGAATCAAGCACACACCCCCCAAAAAGTAGGCGATCTAGCAGTTGCTAGATATGTTGTTGTTGACAAAGATGCGGCTAATGTGGATCGAACACATGACCTTCAGATAGGAAGATTAAAGTGTCACTTCAGTCTGACGCTCTCCCAGCTGAGCCATACCCGCTGCTTCTTGTTTGATGGAGGAGACATGTGGAAAGTGGCTCTATGGATGGGTCGCTGAGGTGGAGTTTGTCGTGGATGAACCTCTTTTTTTTTCTCTTTTGGTTTGGTTTGGTTTGGTTCTCCACCATCCTTATGGATTCCCACGCCGTGGATCCATTCACATGCTCTCTTCTGGGTCTGTCTGTAGGAGAACCATGAGCGTGCGAGTAATATCATATGATTGATTGCCGTTTGGGTTTTTTATCTTTAAATTTCGTCATGGTACAGTCAGGGGCACAATCTGTCCCCCTTGCTCTCACCCTCACCCTCACCGAAACATTCGACATCAGGGCCACCTACTTACTCTCTATTAAGATATTGGTGTGCTCAATTCTCCAGACAGTTGCCTCTTATGTTCGAAGGAAGGCCGATGTTCTTTTGTTTTTGGGATACTTGCCTCTCGGCCGTTTCTATACGGATTTAGACCGTTTGGCAACTCTATCTGTCTCATCGGTATGAGATAGTAACTTGAGTATTTACAGACTCTGGAACCAAGCTCTCACCCTAGACCGAGCTTGGCTCACATTGGAAAAGTCTGACCCCGACACCCTCGCTGTAGTGTCCAGAAGGAAAGAGCTATAGATGCCTACTAAAATATGTTGCTGTTTCAACCTATAGCTATTGCTTCCAATCTCTGACCATGATGGTTTTCCCTGAAGGTTGTAGTTCCAGAAAGCCTATGCCAACTAATGAGCCACTCGTAAGAGAATAAAGAAGAGAGTATAGTGTATGCGGTACAAAAAGGCTATGTCGGGTTACTAAAGAAGGCTTTAAGTGGCTTGAACCACGAGGTCAACGAGTCTGTGTCTCTGGCATCCGCAAACTATATCGCAAACTCTATTTAGCTCCCACTTGAGTCTTTCAGAATACATACGACGGTCTCCCTTGGAGATCCTATGAATGAAGGACATATAATGAAACAGCTTGGCTTAACGGCTACTCAAAGTCTCTCCAACCTTCATGTAACATTGTGGCTGTTACCCTTAACCTTTTATTCTGCGATCGACAACATATGAGTCTCTTTATTTATCAGCAAGCTACTCTCCCACCACTCAGAGCCATCGGTCCGCCTCGTCCTCGTCAGATCTCGTGGCACGAGACGTTGAAGCAATAGCAGTCGTTGTCGAAGTAGGTGGCACAAAGTTCTTGCCAGCACCCGCAAGACAGCCCCTCCTACCTCGGTGTTTGTATCTCTGTCACGCTGCTAGCACACCTTACTCATGCGGGTACGGTCTAATTAGGCTCACCTTGGCGGGGTGTTGTTGTCGTACGGGCCTACACTTATAGTTCTCACGTGTTTTTCTTCCTGGCTTCATTCTTACTCCCCCTTCCCATTGCTTTCCGTCCTGCAGCAGGACAGAAACGGCAAGGAGAGATAGAGATAGAGAGAGCGAGCACAAGCTCGTATGTATTGTACCACGACGGCGTATTACGAGGTCATGGAACCATGTGTCACGACGGACAAAAGGTTTGCGTGCGCGTATGTGTGACTGAACCCCCCCTTTTTTCTCTTTTCTATCAACGGCAGCGAGACGATCAGCCAGTTCGGTGTGATTCGTATCTTTAGGCCAAGGCGATCCCGAAGTCGCAGTTTTCGAGGGCAAGATCTTCTTTGCATTCCCGGCCTCGGGGGGGAGAGGGCAGTGTAAGAAAAATCAGTATTGTATCCGTATTGCCATCGTTTCCCAACTGCAAATGAGAGCGATACACATGCGCACACGCACACGCACACGGGATGGCGGCGCCACACGACGCCCCAACGAAAACAATCGCCCGGCCAGCGGGCCGTGTGCATGTCGAGGCAGCCCCCGTGTGGACGGTTTGACGAGAGCAAGTCGTGGCAGCCACGCGGAGGGCTGAAGATAAGCGCGTCTGTTTTAAAAGGGGAAAAGGGGTCTGTGGTTTTTGGTGTGATTCGCATGGCGCACCACCGTGCCCTACGTCTCAGAATGCGCAGATGAGCCGGCCAGCCACCGGTGATGAAGGAAAGGAGCTGAGACATCTCCAACGGAGTGCGGACAAACTCGAAAAAGAAAGCCAACACAATGTTCGGGATTGGGCAAAGAAGCCAATCTCTCCACGATAAGACGAGCCCCGAGTAAAAAAAGGAAGTGTCTATTTGTTCCGATAAGGGCGGTTTTTTTTTTGCTCGAGCCTTCGTATCTTGTTTTCGTGGGCTGATGAGATATCAAGACGATCAGCGGGCTCTTGGATTTCGATCTTCAACAAGAACACGCGGCCCTCGACAAGATCTAGAAGTGGCTGCATCCAATCATGAAGCTTCAAGGGAACTTACAAGCTCCTATCGGTCGGGCTAGCTATCAAAAGTTCAACGCCCCATTAAAGCTGGCGTCTAAATAAAAAGCGAAGTCGTGGGGGCTTGAAAGTTACGGAATAACCCGCATTACCTCTTTCGATGTCCCAAGCAATTGATTGACTGGCCTGGCCAATACCATGGCTCCCCACAAATTGATGGCCACGATTGGCAGCTGGCCGTCCAAAAAAGTGAAGCCAAATCCGACCCAATTCACTTTTTCTCACACGTTGCACTACATGGTCTTGTTTGTCCGCGGACCGGCAAGCTCGGCATTCGATTCTTGCCAGTTGATTTGCTACTGCCAGGCACGCGCAATAGACAAGAACTGGAGACGAAAGGAAAGGACATGAAACTGTGATCAAGAACTTGGATTGACGGACCGGAAATCTTCAACGGCGGTTGCGGGAGCCTAAGCAGGGAGGTGGGCTGCAGCTGTTAGGAGAATGGCAGGAGCCAATTACGCTGCAAACGCTCCGTGCCAATTGAGATGGCCGGGCGGCACACCTCGCCAGAGTCGCAACTCCTTCTCGGCACTCTTGGGGCTGGTGGTGGACGGTTGCGACGGCGCAAAGTCTCCGAGAGCAACCGTGGCAGGCGCCTGTGCTGACAACAGACAAGACATCTTTCAGAGGCTGTTGGCAGGCCATCTTGGAGGCAAATAAGCAAGGTACCGAGAGCTGTCGACCAAACAGAGCCTCATCATTCGCCGTTTCTGGGGAGAGGCTGGACGTTGCAGTCGGCCTGGCCTGATGCCGAAACCAAGTTATCTTTCAACAGCGATAAGGTCGACTTCTTCTGGACGTTATTAGTCTCTTGGCACGTCGTCAAAACCTGACGAAAGGCGAGATGGTAAAACCACTTATTCCGTTTTTGTCCTTTCTGTTCTGTTGTCTGTCTCTTCACTGGACGGGGGCGAGAGAGTAAAACGGACAGGATCATCTCCCGACATCTTGATCCGGATCTAGCAATCGCATTATCGAAGTTTGGATTCCCCATCTTGGAAGACATGGCACTTGCAGAACAGGAGAGGCCCCAGCAGGAGGGCTTGGACTAGGGGCTCGTCCTTGGAACGTCGACCCGTTCCAAGGAAATCTTGGTTCTGTTTCGGCCGGGCAGTCCTGAAAGCTACCTTAGCTTTTACGCTCCAGGGCATCTCTCATCATCTCATGTGCCAACTTCTGGCTCTCGGTGCCATCTAGGCTCTTGGCAGTGCGAGCGAGCGAGCCATCTTTGTTCGTTGACGCGCTGTCACTGCAATCAATCTAGTCCGTCCTGTCTTGACCCGACAGAGTTATGGCTGCCGGGCTTACTGTCAGCTCCGGGAAGCCTGGAAGAGGGTCAAGTCGCCGTGCTGCTTGCTGCACACACAAGCTCATTTCCCGCGCGAAGCCGTTGATGCTGCTGCATAACAACGCACCCGAGAACAGAAGTCACCTCCATGGGTCCAAAGGACGAACTGGGCGAGTCCCCCCACACGTAAACCGTGGCACAATACTCCACTGCATGGAGAAGGGGCAGCCACCTTCCAGGCTCCTAGGGCAGTCTGGGTAGCAAGATCGAGATTCGGAAAGCCGGACGGGCCTCGCAAGAGAAAAGAATCGCCAGCAATTGACGGCGCAATTTGTCTCTAACATCGCGTCCCGCCTTGGTACTCTGCTGGACTCACCAAGTCCCGGGAGCCTGCGATTCTGAGACACGCGGGATGCTGCGGTAGAACCCGACGAGAACTCGCCATCCGAGAAAAGGTGTGCTGTACTATGGTATGGGTATGGACTGTAAATACTCAGTAGGCAGAGTAGTGCAATGTGCGTAAGGTAGTGTCTTCCTCTGGCTCGGCTAATTGCTGCCGTCGAGCAGGCAGAAACGGCATTGACAGGCTCCTCAGGCACATGCCAATCGTGGAGGTGGAAATTCCAGCTGTCAATGTACTCGACCAAGGCTTCGTTCATTGTCGACGGGTCGTCTTTTTAGCCCAGCGCCTGCCATCTAACGTCCATTGTCCATCCATACTTGAGTTGCGTATTTAGTTATCGGCTTGCTATAACGATGCTTACCAAGGCTTACCAAGGCGGAGTATGTGCTAAGTAGTCTGGCGTCGTATATATATTGCGGGTTTCATGGCATTTCCCGACGTGGTACGTTGGGTACGGACGGATACTCCGTACCGTACGGCTCTCCTCCATGCCGTTGCGCCACCACGCGTGTAGGTAACAACGGAGTATATATGTACGGCAAAGGTATGCCCAAAAAAGGTGAAGATGGCCGTTGTCTGTGCCTTGTCCGTTGGAGATCTCAACCGAGATCAATTGGATCGGTACCTGGCTGAGTATCCGCATATACGTCAAGATTGAATGTCGAGAAGGCGGCGGGAACGGAAAACAATGGATGGACAACGGACTCCGCGTCTTCGTTTGGGCTAGCACTGTAACCTGAAGATAACAATTTCTTTGCAGGTTGGGACGTTTTCTCTTGTGGCAGGGTTCTCGGGCTGCCGAGCGCGTTGCGTCATTCATCTGAGAGCCAGAACACGGATGCGGACGTGGCCCGTTAGCGCTCTCAAGCCTCAGTGCCATCGCACACCTCGGCCCCCACTTACCAACAGCACAGCTGGGCAGGCATGGCATGGGGATGATAACCAACTCTTG